GAAGCGATCGCCACGCTGGTCGCAGGGCTGTGTGGCGGCGTCATTCAAACGACACCGTACATCGGACATCCGGCGTACAAAGCGATGGGAGGCCGCGCGGCGTACACGTTAGCTACCGCCATCTTCGTCGGCGGGGCAGGCGTGTTCGGCTACTTCGGCTTTCTGTATTGGCTTATTCCCAAACCGACTGTCTTTCCAATCCTCGTATTCATCGGGCTCGAGATCACCTCGCAAAGCTTCCAAGCAACACCCAAGAGGCATTACCCGGCCGTTTCGATTGCCTGCATTCCAGCCCTTGCGGCATTGGTGCTGATCTATATCGGCGACCTCCAAGGCAACTACACCGGGCTTTCTTTTCAGATGGAAGCCGCCATGGTCGAGCAGCAAGATGCCGAGTCGCAGCGGTGGCAGAAACTAGTCGACGAAGGACATCTCGACGAGGAAGGCCTTAGTCAGTTGACCGAAAACCGCGAAGACTTGGGCGGCATGATCCAAACGCTTCGCAGCCATAGCTTCGGCGACATGCAAACGCCGCCTGACGCGGAAGGGCATTCCCACGCGACCGGACTCGCGGTAAAGCTGCAAACGCTACGTATGCTGGCCGGCGGCTTCATCCTGACAAGCATGCTGTGGGCCGCCATCCTGGCATTCATCATCGATCGTCGCCTTTACACAGCGGCCGTGTTCGCCCTCGTTTGTGGGGCGTTCAGTTTGTTCGGGGTGATTCACTCGCCATTTCCCAGTGGTAAGCTGGTGCTAGGATGGAACAACGTCGACATGCCGGCCGCAGCGGCAGGGCAGGGACCTATCTATATGATGTGGGCCTATGTCTGTGTGACTGTTGTCCTGTTGGTGTGCGGTCTTTGGCAGCACACCTCGCCCCCACGTGAAGTCCCCGACCACGAACCAGAAAGCTAGATCGATGCTCGAGCGCATTCTTGAACCCGAAGTAATGGACACACCGCAAGAGGCTATGACCTACGACGACATGGACCATCATGCCGTCAACGATGCGTTCGTGACCGATCTGATCGCGTTCCTGAATGTGCATCCCGATAGGGAAGCGGAGATGATCGACATTTTGGACGTCGGCACCGGCACCGCACGCATTCCCATTCTCTTGGCCGATCGCCTTCCGCAGTGTCGAATTATGGGAGCNNGAGCTGATGCTTCGATCGCGATGCTCGACGTCGCCAAGATCAACATCGATATCGCCGGCCTGCTCGATCGCGTTCAGTTGGCACGACTCGACGCCAAGCAAACCGACTACGAAGATAGCTTCTTCACCGGCGTGATGTCGAACACCATCGTGCATCACATTCCCGAACCGCTGGCGGTGCTGAAAGAAAGCGTCCGCCTGGCCGCACCTGGCGGGTGGCTCTTCTTCCGCGATCTTTATCGCCCCGAGTCGAAAGAGGAACTCGATCAGCTGGTCAGTACCTATTGCGGCGAAGAAACCGAAGAGGCACAAAAGCTGTTCGCCGAATCGCTGCACGCGGCTTTGTCTTTGGACGAAATCCGCGAGATGGTTTCTTCGCTCGGCTTCGAACCGGAAACGGTTCAGATGACGTCCGACCGCCACTGGACGTGGGCTGCTCGCAAGCCGGAATAATCGGCACATCCGGCAACTTGAACGTAGGTCGCAAGAATGTTGCGCC